CCACCATAATTTTTTCACATAATCAATATTTTAATACGTAATTGGTGAAAAAAATGCCACGACCGTATTGTTATCGAACCTTTTTCATAACGGGCTGTGCTGTTTTTTTCATATTGTTTAAATGTTTACGCGTTTGTTTTGAACGCGCCTAATTTTTGTTAGTTTCAATTTTAAATAAATCTATTTAGTTCGGATCACTGAAATAAACTGCAAAAACATGGCGGAACGTGCGTGAGTCGCCTCCTGTACGAAGTTTTTATAATCAAAAAGAAATGACCGAACGAAACAACCGCATAGAATTTGGAATGGCGCACACAAGCAAAGCACTTAATGTTAAACACATGTACACTACAACCAGATACACAAAGAATTGAACCGAGTCGAAATCGAAGTCATGTATACATGAATATGCGTTCCGCACAACCACACACACACATACACCACATAGATCTATATATATGAAGAAGACGACGACAACGTCGAAGTGGCAAATCAAACTCAATACACACACATAATGTAGCGAAAGAAACGCTCCAACACACACTCAAACAACAACGATGATATGACCGACTCTCTTCTATTGCTCACACACTCGAAGCACACTCGATAATTTTCAACAAAAAAAAAAGAAATTTTGTTTTTTCCTGTGTCGTTTTTGCTTCTAGCTCAACTGGTCAAGTTGTCTTGAATGAATATACTATCATTACTAAACCTACTGAATTTTATGGAAATAACTGCCAAATACAAATGGCCGATTGTCTTACAGATAGAAATTTTTTTTTTCTCGTTTCGTTCTGGTTAAGTTCAAAAATGATAGGGACCGTTCCTGCTAGTATTTCGATGGCTGTGTGTCGCCTGTTCGACGCGAGCACCAAATTATCACGCTGCTTTAGGCTGAATTATTCTCTGTTTCTTTCTTTCTTCGAATTTTTTTAAATGCGAAAATCGGGTTGTGTGGTGTGTTAACCGATTTTTCTTAAATGTGTTTTTCAGTCGTAATTAGTGTGTGCATGAATGTCCGCAGTGAGCGAACCGAACTGAGCTGCCCCGTTGTCGGTGTGCGGTATGAATGTGTCTGGATGGGTTTCGGCGTGCATAGATGTGATGATGTATTTGTGTGTATACATGTACAATGAATGATGGCGAGACGAGTATAGTATGATATGCGGCGTATGTGTGTGCGTGCGTACGCGTGTTTGTATTGATGAGGCCTGCAAAGCCTCGCTATAACTTTGCTACAACTTATTTCTATCTCCACGTCGTACTTCCGGCAGGTTGTCATTTCATTTTCAATACACACATGAATGCGGCTTCATGAGAGAGCGCGCCATGCGTCTGTATTATACGTACACATGCGATAGTGTACGTGTGTATGCGTATGTGTGTGTGGTACTACGTAAGTATTTTCGGCAGTGATGCCGCAGCCTCATCGTATTCAATTCGGACACTATATTAAAAAAAATTGGTTACAGACAAGGCTAAAAATGTTATACCACATGCAATCCGATGCAAATTTTCGATCTGCTGAGCCAATGCAAAATATTCGTGTCAAGCTAACCGAAAAGGACAAGCAATTTGCACGGAAAAACTGTAGCAAATATTCATGGCTCTTTGATTTTTGTGTTATCGTTTGCTTTCCGAACATTTACAACAACAGCAAAGAAAAAACTCTCTCTCCTTTGCCAGCTCGCTCGTTCATTCGCTTTCTTTCTCTCTTTCTCCGTCTTTCGTTTGGTCAAATTTACGAAAAACAAGTCGTAGCACAAATACATGGAAATTAGTGGCACTTCGCACACAATAAACATGCACACAAGCCCAAATATAAAATAATGGATGAACGAATAAAAAAAAAAGTATAATACTATAAAACTTCAAAAGTATGGCTCCTCAACACACTGTTCTCTCTTTTCTGCACCCAATGATCGCAATGATTTATTTTCAATGTTTACATATGGTATTCGCGGTAAAAATGTCTCTCCATTTTCTCTCATGAACGATATAGAATGTTAAATTAAAATTCCGTTCAAAATTCTGGTTAAAAGTCATGAAGTATTCGATTTATTCAATGGACAACAACTATAAACAAAATCGACCGAAATTCGGTATCTTTTCGTTTTTTTTTTGGTCTTTACAACGAGAAATGAAGTGTTTTATTGGTTTTGTTTGTTTGGAACCTACCAAAGAAGCAAATTATATTGTGTGTGTATGTATCTAGAAAACAATTTTGACTTTTTTTTTCGGAGCAAAAAAATTTTATGAAAATAATAAAAAAAAACGGTAGCGCTAAGTATCAAAACAGCAAAAGATGTTCCTTGAAAGAATACGGGAAGCTTACTAACGTCGCTGCGTGTAAAATGATGTTCGATGCGACAATGAGGTCCGGTACATATTGGTTATGTATGCGAATGTATCGGTGTAAGCGGCTTCTTGATGCGATGCATGTATTTGTGTAAACGGGCCCACATCACAGCAACATACACACACGCAGCACACATACAATTATCGCTTGTGTGTTCGATTGTGTGAATTGGTTGAGTGTATGTGGCTTTTTCTCTCGTCTTTTTCCAACTTGTCTTTTTCCTAATGAGAGCGTATTAATGGAATGCGTAGTAGGCCAGTCATGTTACTATAGCAACTTTTCAACCGTATTTCAATGTAAACAATAGCTCCGTCGAATCTCTGGAAACGACGATTGTCCATTTCGAAAATAGCTATTCGATCATTTGCCTTCAAGAAACATGGACGATGCTACAAGTTGTGTGACCATACGATTTTGATATCTAAAGCCAGAGATATCGTGCATTTCTTTTTTATTTTTGCCTTGACGAAGTGACTCAGTTTATTTTTTCGTTTCGCGCGCAGCAAAAAGCATTGTTTATGTTTTAGTTGCTTTTCTTTGTATCAATTTTAAGATGCGTGCCATTCCCAAATGGGTTGAAAAGATCCACGAGGAGAATGAGGATAAAGAGCAAGCCGGGTGAGTCTATTGAACTGTGGAATTTTGCGTGTGACACCATCGCAGTAAACATGTGCATTTGTTTCTTCTAATTACCATGTGATTGTGATATCATTGTAGGATTCACTCGATTTGCTTTCATCCGGAGGGTATTCAACTTATCGTTGGCGCTTGTGACAAAGTTTTAGTGTATGAACCAAATGAAGGCACTCTTATCGAAACGCTGACCGGACACAAGGACACCGTTTACGCGGTAGCATATGCATACGATGGCAAAAAATTTGCGTCCGGCGGTTCCGATAAATGTGTCATCGTTTGGTCCAACAAACTCGATGGCATACTCAAATACTCGTAAGTTCTATGGAATGCAAAAGATGATTTTAATGGAAATTATATTGAGTGTTCTGTTTATTTTAGTCATAGCGACTCAATTCAATGCTTGGCCTTTAACCCGGTGTCACATCAATTGGTGTCGTGCACTCAGACAGATTTCGCATTCTGGTCGGCCGAACAGAAAGCGGTGCAAAAGTTTAAGGTTTCATCTCGGATAAATTGCTGTGCCTGGACGAACGATGGCCAGTATTTGGCTTTGGGTATGGCAAACGGGACTGTTTCCATTCGAAATAAGGTGAGATGAAATCAAGCAATAAAAATTATGTTAAGTTTTATAACGAGTATTTGACTCTCTTT